GTGGGCTTAGTCTGCATTCTCATGTTCTCTGAGTCCTTGTTCAGCAGCTGCTCCTCCGCTGACTCTGGACCTTTCTGGTTCCCAATGGCAGGAGCAAGAGTGGCCCATTGTATGGCATGTATTCCCAGGGGTTGTTCAAAGTTTCAAGGATTCACACACATCCGTGGGTGGGCAACTGCAGTTGGTGCATGGTGGGCCAATTGTGTCACTGTTTCTCTGTGTCATGATAGATCTCAATTGAGCGGCGGCGGCCGGCCCACCCGGTGCGGTGGGGGCCCACCCTCCGGGAGCCAGCAGGCAAGAAGCTAGCCAGCCAGAAGGCTGGCGCTCCCCACCTGCAGCTCCCTGTGTGCCGGAAGCCCTCCTTCCGGGAACCACGAGGCCGGGAATGAGTCGCCGGTCCGAAGACCGGTGCTCCCCGCCCGAGGTTCCCTGTGCGCTGGGGGCCCACCCTCTGGGAGACAGCAGGCAGGAAGCTAGCCAGCCAGAAGGCTGGCGCTCCCCAAGGCTGTATATTTACTGTATCAAACTATGCCCCTCATCTTTTTGGAATGTGTTATACAACTGTTCATTCTTACCTTATCATGCCTCTAACTTACGATGTGAACCCTATCACAATATTTCACCAGGACAGTGATTCACAAATTTTCATAACTACCAAAAGCACCCTTTTTATTCTATTTCTAGAAGAATAAAAATTTTATAATTTTTTCCAGGTATGGTGGCACACAATGGTAATCCCAGCCTGTGGGGAGGTAGATGCAGGAGGATTCCCAAGAGTTTGAAGCCCGTCTGGGCTGTATAGTGAATTCAAGTCTAACCTAAATTACATAGGAAATCCTGTCTCAAAAACTCAAAACATAATAATTTTCAAATTATAATTCTACCTGAAAACTAGGTGTTTCATCATGTGAAGGGTGTGTTAAATAGTTCCTGAAACACATTTCTTCCTGTTTGTTATCCTAGAAATAACAGGGCTGATGTTGGGAATCCTTGTAAGATGAACTTTTGTCTTTTCCATTTCAAAAACAGAGCCAATGGTGCCAAGTTTTCTTTTTTTAAACAAAGGATCTTGTGCTGAAAGTCTTATATTTTATATTAAAAGAAAGAGAAAAAGCAAAAAATATTGTTTTATAGCACTGATATGACAATGACTATTTAAGTCAAAGAGATATTTTAAAACAGGGTTAAGAAAGTGTTCTATACTTAGGCCAGCTGCCGCAGCAAACTTGCACAAATGGTAGTGGCATACTGCATTTCCATTGTGTACAGCATGGTATTCATCCACTGATGAAATACATACTATATTTTATTTTTATTTAGTATTCTTTTAATATGTTTTAATTAACATTTTTTATATTTTTATATTGTTTTAAATTTTTAGGCAAAAATAATTAAAATCATAAATATTATATAAGTGCCTATAATCTGCAAAGTCCTGTGATATATAGCAAAAACTGCATGATACAGAATTAAATATATATATTTTTAAAAACCTGTGATACACTGAAGCCACAATAAGTGAACTGCAATATAGCGAGGGATGACTGTATTACATTTGTAAAACCAATTTTTTTTTGATCTAGGAATTGAACACAGGACCTTGTCCTTGCTAGGCAGGCATTGTGCCACTGAGCTATAACCTTGGCTGTAAAACCAATTTTGACATCATTTTGATCAGGTGGCAACCTAGGTGAAAGTATGTCGTCCTTAGTTCTAATGACATCTGTAGACCAATTTAAGTTATAGATAAATGTTTTCAGAAAAAAGGAAAAAATTGTTGAGCTCAAACAAAACAGCTTTAAGTGTGGTAACTAGTTACAAATTAGACATACAGACAAACACACATAAGACAATTTACACATAAAACTAAAGGCACTCAGATGTATTTTGCCAAGGAGAATTATAACTTTTTTTTAGTTTTTAAATTTGTAACTATAAGTAGACTAGTCAGAACTTTTTGTAGCTCACTTAACAGAGATTTCTTATAATAAGAATCAGAAGGAATAAAACCTTTAGACCTCTGAAAAACAAAGACAGCTTTTAAGATGGGCCTGAGGGTGATGGTTTATCTGATTGGAATATCCAGCTATACAGGCTACTCCTTGTTGTTTTGATAGCCATAGTTGTTGAACAGTTACAGCTGATGACCAAAACTGCTGTTTTGACTGCCACATGTAACTCTTCCCTCTAATGGGGCAGACTGTTAAAGGTAATTTTAACTATTTCTAGGGTGCGTAAGAAGGCCAGGTTTGAGTGTAGAAAGAGATTATCTCTGAGAATAGTGGCTGGCCTGCAAGTTATTCTGGAGAGAATAAGGATGAGAGCTAGTCCTCTGGGGACTGGGGCTGCGGCTATTTTTAATATTTGTCCTTACTTAAAACTGTTATTAAACTCATAAGTTTCCCTAGGAATGTTTAATTCTATCAATAACCTTATCAGTGCTGTAAAAAAATCAGTCAGTTTGCCCTATGCTGTAAAAACCAGTCAGCATCATTCTTGAGGGGAAAGAAGAGGAGTTAATCTCCAGATCTGCTTAAGGACTAGAAGGCAGATAAATGTGGACTAAAACTTGTACATCTATTTTTGAGAGCTTTCAGGATTAAATCTAGACCAGGTTTTTAGCATATGGCCCAGAGATAATGAAGATCAGTTTCACCCGGGAAGGGTCCCAGGGAGGGGAAACTCACCATTCTGGAAACTTGGTCCTGAAATTCAGCAGCTGCAGAGGAGAGGATTGACCAAACGCTATTATAAACCATGTTATTTGTCAGAGGCAGGGCAGTGGAGAAGGGCCAGAAGAATGACTCCAAGTAAGAATTAAATACTAATCATCTCAGGTGCAGAAAGATAAGATCAAGAGCCTTCCCAGGGTAGATCACTAATCCTTAACAAAACATGCCTCCAGATATAAAAGTTATGATTGACTCCAACTATATGCTGAACAGAAAATGAAACCAATAATCAGAAAGGACTGGAATGGCTCCTTTTTAATCTTCTGAAAGAGAGTGAGAGAGAAAATGAAAGTTTTTCAATTATATTCTTTAGGGCATATTTTCTAATAAATGACTCTGAATTAAAAGAGATCTATTGCCTCTGAATATAGACAGAGGCAGGTAATAGTTCAGAAGAAATCTTGGGCCTGGGCAAAGAGGTCTTTGAGACATTTTGGTTTCTCTGTCCAGTCACCTCTACAGCAGTGCTGGCTAGGCTCTATTAAAACCCACTCTGAAAGTAAGTGCCCTCCTGGTATGTGTAATATACTTAAGAAACTCACAGATTAAAGTCTGTACTCATTGTCTCTCATTAGAAGTCAGTGTTTGATTTAAGTGTAATATTACATCTCTCTAACCTAGTTTATAGGTCTGAGTAAGTCGTCTAAAGACCTCAGTATACTTGTCAGGATCCTAAATCTTGCCTTATCTCTACTAGATTACTGAGAGAAAAGACATGTAAACACAGGTAGTTCTAAATTTCCCATTTACTTCCTGTAAGAGATATTATCCTTGAGGAACTTGAATAAAATCAGTTATGGGTGGTTACAACATCATGGAGGCTTCAGTTATGGCTGACCTATGAACTCCACCCTTAAGATTTGAAGGGCAAGTAGGGAAAGCCTCACCAGATATACATGTAGAAAGAGAAAATTCTTGGGTCCTCCCATGCCTACATCCTGGTCCCTTATGGCCCAAACTTGCTAGGCTCTCAAGGATTCCTAGTTGCTTGCATTTTGTAGGCTTAACACTAAAAGATATCTTTTCCAGGAAAAAGTGGAAGGCTTTCTCTATAGATAGTCAACTGTAAGTGCAGATTATGGTCAGTGAATCAGTGATACAAGCAAAAAAACCTGATACCTAGAGACAATGAAAATGGGTTTCCTCTTTGAGAAGAAAAAAAGGATTTTGGGATACCCTAATGGAAAGGGTGACTTTTAAGCTGATACTTTTTTTTTTTTTTTTGTCTTCTTGAGACATGGTCTCCCTATGCAGTTCAGGCTGAGCTTGAGCTCACTTTGTAGCCCAGACTGGCCTTGAACTTGCAATGATCCTCCTTCCTCAGCCTCCCGAGTGCTGAGATTACAGGCGTGCACCACCACGTCTGGCTTAAACTGATAAAGAGATTTTGAGATGTGGAAAAGGGGAGAAAGGATCTATCTCAGATGTTAAAGTATAAATAAATGCAAAAATAGTGAAGTATAGAATAATAGAAATAGAATTTCACATTTATTGACTTCTGTATGTCTGACATTTTAAAAGAGCTTTACATGTATAAGCTCATTCATGTCATAGAAACCTGAAACTATAGGTACATTACTATCCTCATTTTACATATAGAACACTAAGAGAAGTTAAGGAACTTGCCCAAGTCACATAACAGGGGTAAACCTTATCTGTCTCAACAGTCTGTAGTCATGACAAACTACCACCCTGGGGGCCATTTTTGCAATGTGTAATAACCATTGGAAATTCTTGAAGTCCTTTCTAGTTTCAAGATTTAATGATCCCATATGTCTAAGTTCTTCCCCAACCCCCAATTCCAACAAACATGGAACCTTGAGATTTGGACCTGTTTTTTTTTAATTCTGGTTCCGTATAATCATCAGGAACATGTAGGTTATAACCATATTCACCCAGCTGGTTTCTTCTAATTTGCAAGACTTCATAGAGTCAATCTGTCTATCTTTCTGTCTTCTGTCTATTTATCTAGCTAACTAGCTATCAGTGATTTAAAAATTCAACCTGAAACAAAGTAAAAAATCATCATCTATGACAGTGGTGGCAAACCTATGGAATGTGTTTTTCTATGAAGACAAAAGATGTTAATGTATTCATTGTTTTTTCTAAACTAAAACCTTAGTATTCAAGTTTAATTACGGTGTTGGTACTTTATGATAAATAAGTGCGTTTTGGGTTGCAGTTTTGGCACTTGGGCTCTAAAAGGTTTGCCATCACTGACCTAAGGTAAAAACTTTGACATTTGTACAAAGACCTTTCCAGATACTTGTATGACTAGTTACATAAATATATATATTGATATAACTGATGATTCTGTACATGATATGCACTCTGACTTTTTCAGCAATAATAGAATATTAGTATCTTTCTATATCAATAAATATAGATATATTAAAAACCATATTAAATCCAATTTTTATTTCTATCTACTTTATTTAAAAAATCCTCTTTGATTTTTTAAAATGAATACTCAAGGCCATATTCTGGATTTTCAAGGGCTAATCCGTTATTTTTTTGTCAGCAAGAAATGTATTGCTATGTTGCTTTTAATGGGCTTACAGGGCCTTACAGGAAGATTCCAGGGCTCACAGCATCTCAGGCAGGAAGGAAGTAGGAAATTTTACCTCTTCTTGGAGGAAAGGAACACCAAATCCTGGACTGTACAATTCTCAACAGAAATTCTGACTAAAACTAACAAATACTGTTTAATGTATGAAGTATGACTGTGTTTCAATGTACTATACTGAATTCATGGCGAATCGTTTTTCTTTCTTCAAAGTAAATCCGGAAAAAGTTACACGTGTACATCCAGTAGTTCTACAGGTGCTTCGTGCTCTTTTTTGGGTGAAATTATACCGCCTCCAAATAATTGTGACATTGAGGTGGAAGCTCAAAATGCCGATGGGATAATTAAATCTGACATTACACACTGGCGCTTAAATGACATAGGTAAGTTTTCTTTGATATTCTTATATATTGTTTACTGAATATTCTCTTTTAAAAAGAGGCATCTGTGGACTCAAAGCTCAAAGAAATAGTAGGTATGTGTTATAGATATACCTTCTTATCAAAGAAAGAAGGAAAAATGGAAAGGAAAGAAGGAGGGAGGGAGGAAAGCAGAAGAAGAAAGGAGGGAAGGAACAAAGAAAGAGGAAATGGAGGAAGGGAACAAAGAAGGAGGGAGAGAAGGAAAGAATGAAAAAAAGGGGGGAAGGAAGAAAAGAAGAAAGAAAGGAATTGGCCAATTGAAAAATAAGAGCTGGTTACTTATTCTTCTTGCAGTTTGTAGCATAAATTATATTCAAAGATATAAAAGACCCCTCTCCTCACAAATCATAATACTTATGAAAAAAGTAGTAAAGCGCTCATTTTTAAAAGCTCTCCCTAATCCTGACCCTTTTAATTGTTTTGAAAACTCATTTTTACCTACCATATAATTTTTAAATAACTGACTTCTTGAGATATAATTTGCATATGATACAGTTTGTCTTTTAAAAGTATACAGTTCAGTGGTTCTTCATAAATATTCACAAGTTTGTTAAAACATCAACACTATCTAATTCAGTATTATTTTCATTATCTCCAAAAGGAACTTCATACCCATTAGTGGTAAGTCTCCAATCCTTTCTTCACCTTTCCCTCCTCTGGAAATTACAAATCTAGTTTTTCATCTCTAAGACTTACCTATTATGAACATTTTATATTAATGGAGTCATACAATATGTGGCCTTTTGCATCTGGCTTTTTTCACTTACTATAATGTTTTCAAGGTTCACCATGTTGTATCATATATTAGTACTTCACTCTTCTTTATAGCTCAATAATATTCCAGTGGATAGGTAAACTATGTTTTGTTCATGCATATGTCAGCTAATGTACATTTGGGCTATTTCTACTTTTGGTAATTATAAATAATGCTGCTATGAATGTTTGTGTGAAATTTTGTGTGAACGTATGTTTCAATTCTTTTAGATATATACCTAGTGGCTGCACCACTTTGGTATTTATAAAGGTTACATTTTCTCCATTTCCTCTCCAAAACTTGTTATTGTCTCTCTTTTTCATTAGAGTCATCCTACTGGGTGTGAAGTAGTATCTCATTGTAGTTCTGATGTGTATTTACCCAGTGATTATTGATGGTGAACATCTTTTATGTGCTTATTGGCTATTTGTGTATCTGTAGAGAAATTTCAATTCAAATTCTTTGACTATTTTTAATTGTTGTCTTTTTATTACTGAGTTTTAAGAGTTCTTTTTCTTTGGTTTAAATTCCTTAACAAATGAATGATTTGCAAATATTTTCTCCATAGGCTGGGGATTTAGTTTAGTGGAACAGTGCCTGCCTGGCAAGCTTGAGGTCCTGAGTTCAATTCCTGGTACCCCAAAAAACAAGACAAAATTTCTCCTTTTCTGGGTTGCTTTTAATTTATTCATAATGTCCTTTCAAACAGAGACCATTTAAATTTGATGAAGTCCAATGTATCTATATTTTTCTTTTATTGCTTAAGCTTCAGATGTAACATCTGAGATCCATTGCCTACCCCGAGCCTGCAAGACTTACTGTCATATTTTCTTCTAAGGATTTTAGAACTTTAGCTTCTGTATTCAGACTTTTGATCCACTTTAAGTTAATCTTTTAAATATGGTGTTAAATAGTATGTTAGCTTTCTATCTGTATCACAAATACCTGAAATAACTTACAAAGAGAAAAAAAATTATTTCGTTCTCAGTGTTGCAGTTTGGTCCCTATCCAATCCACCCCATTGCTTAGTCCTGTGATGGCACATCATGGTGGTAGTGAGTGGTAGGGCAATGCCACTTACCTACTAACTGGAGAACAAAAGAAAAGAGGAAAGAAGGGGCTGGGATCCTATTATTCCCTTCAAGGCCATCCTCTAATGACCTAAAGACCACCTTCCATGCCCCAGCTATTACAAGGTCCATCACGGGCTGGGGATTTAGCTCAGCGGCAAAGCGCCTGCCTGGCAAGCGCAAGGTCGTGAGTTCGGTTCCTGTACCGGAGGGGGAAAAAAAAAAAAAAAAATCTCTAAAAGGTCCATCACTTCTTGATAGCCGCAAGCTAGGGACCAAACCTCGAAAATATGGGTTCTTTGGAGAACATTCCAGGTCCAAACTATAGTAGTAGGGGCCCAACAACATTGTTTTTCTTTTCAAATTTTTATTTTTATTGGTACATATTTGCACTACATAATGACTATAGTCATCATGGGAAATTGGCACATACACCTAATACATCATTCTTGTTACGTCTCCTCTACTCTCCTCTCGTTCTTAGCATGTGGATATTCATTTCTCCCAGAACCATTTGTTGAAAAGATAGTTGCTGTCCTCCCCCCACCCCACCTTATTGAATTGTCTTGGCACCCTATTAAACATCAATTCACCTAACTGTAAAATATTTTCCTGGTGTTTAAATTCTGTCTCATTGATCTATATTTGTCTTTGTGTCAGTACAATACTTATCACTTTAATTAAGTTTTAAAATTGGGAAAATGAGTTGTTCAAGCTTGTTCTTTCTCAGGATTATTTGGGTTATTGAGTCCCTCAAATTTCCATAGAGATTTTAGGACTAGCTTGACAATTTCTACAGAGAAATCAGCCAGAAATTTGATAGATTTATTATTATTATTATTAAGTTCATTGGTGTATTTTAGATATACATAATGATCATATTGATCATAGGGAATTTGTACCCATGCATGATATATTTTGAGTCCTCCTTTATTTCCCAGTTCCCTCTCCTCCCTTCAATCCCTCTTTCCCTCCTTATTTACAAATCTTTGTTTCCATTTTATCCTTTTTAAAAACACTTTTTTCCCTTTTCCCTTCCTTCCTTTCTCTCTTCCCCCACCCTAGTTATTCTTTCCTTTTGAACAATGTTGTCCAATTTCACAATATCTATTGAACATTTTGGTCCTTATTTACTCTTTCACTTTTTCACACCAGGGAGGCAATGCAGTGTTTACGCATATGAGTCTGATTTATTTCACTTAAGAATATAGTCTCAAGGTACATCCATTTACCTAGAAATACCTGAAATTTATCCTTCTTTATGGCAGAGTAATACTCCATTATATTAAGAAAAACAGCATCTTTTTTATCAATTCCTTGGTTGATGGTCATTTTGGTTATTTCCAAGATCTAGCTATTATAAACTGTTCTCATATAAACATGGATGTGCATATATTGCTGTGGCATGAGGTTTTTAATTCTTCTGGGAAGACACCCAGAAGAGGAATAGCTGATCAAATCAAACCTCTAATCCTAGATTTTTGAGGAATCTCCATACTGTTATCTACAGTGGCTGTACCATTCTACACTCCCACTGACAGTAGAGAAGGGTTCCTTTTCCCCCACAGCCCCATCAGCATTTGCTATTGGTTGATTTCTTGATGATAGCTGTTCTTTATGGAGTGAGATGGCATCTCAGTGTTGTTTTAATTTGCATCTCTCAAATGAGCAGTGATGTTGAACATTTTTTATTCATTTATTTGCTGTTGGTACTTCTTCTGAAATGTGTACATCTTAGTCACCCATTTTTGAATTAGGTCTTTAAATTTGGGGGAGTCTGATTATTTTCAGTTCTCTGTATTTTCTAGATAGAAGTCTTTTGTCTAAAGGAAAACTGGCTAAGATTTTTTCCCACTCTGTAGGTTGTCTTTTCACTCTGTTGGTGATTTCTTTTGCTGTGTAAAACCTTTTTAATGAGATCCCAGTTGTTGATTCTTTGTGATGGTTCATGTACAATCAGGATTTTGTTCATAAAGTCTTTGTCTATATCTATGTCTTCCATAGATTTACCTATTCTCTCTTCCAGCAGATTTAGTGTTTCTGTCTTAATATTTATTTATTTATTTTTGGTACTAGGAATCAAACTTAGGAACTTGTGCTTGCCAGGCAGGCACTGTGCCCCTGAGCTATCTACCCAGCCCTGTGTTAATATTTAGATCTTTGATCCATTTTGATTTTAGTTTGGTACGTGGTGATAGACATGGGTCTAGTTTTAAATTTTGGCATGTGGAAACCAGTTTTTCCAGCACCATTTATTAAAGAGTCTATCTTTCTTCCAGTGAATGTGTTTGGCTCCTTTGTCAAAGATAAGGTGGTGATCATTTGGTTTTTGTCCGTGGTTCTGTTAAAATGGTGTTTTACATTTATGGATTTATATACATTGAATCACCCCTGCATCTCTGGAATGAATCCTACTCGGTCATAGTGCATAATCTTGGTGATTTCCTGTGGTCCATTTGCCAGTATCTTGTGGAAGTTTTTTTTTTTTTTTTTGTCTTTTTGAGGCAGGGTCTCACTATGCAGTTCAGGCTGGCCTTGAGCTCACTTTCTGTAGTCCAGGCTGGCCTTAAACTCCCAATGATGCTCCTGCCTCAGCCTCTTGAGTACTGGGATTAAAGGTATGTGCCATCATGCCTGTTGAATGTTTTTGCTTCAATGTTCATTAGGGAGATTGACCTGTAGTTCTCTTTTTTGGTTGGGTTCTTCTTTGGTTTTCAAATCAGGTAATACTTGCTTCCAGAAATGATTTTGGAAGTATTGCTTCCCTTTCAATTTCCTTAAAGAGTTTCAGCACTAGTGGCATTAGTTCTTCCCCTAAATTTCTTGTAGAATTCAACAGTGAATCCATTAAGGCCTGAGCTTTTCATTTTTGGTAAGTTTTTAATTACATTTGCAATTTCATTGACTGATGTTGGTTTATTTAGAATTTTTATATCTTCTTGATTCAACTTTGGTAATTGATATGTATTTAAGAATCTGTCCATTTATTCTGTGTTTTCTATTTTATTAGAGTAAAGTTTCTCAAAATAGGTATTGATGATCTTCTGGATTTCCACAGGGTCTGTTGTGACTTCACCATTTTCATTCCTAATTGCATGAATTTGAATCTTTTCTTTCTTTTTTTTTTTTTTTTGGTT